TTTATGATATGTACATAAAATAAAATCCAAGAAAAACAGTTTGCAGTTCCTCAATAAAACAAACAGAATTGCCATAGAAGCCAGCAATTCTGCTCCTGGGTATACTCAAAAGAATTGAAAGTAGGTGTCAAAACAAAATGCACGTAACAGTGCAAGTGTTCACAACAGACAGAGGTGGAAACAGCCTGAAAGTTCACCAGCTGATGAGTAATCAGCGTGGAGTGTCTGCACAGCAGGGTATGCTTCCGCTACATGGAGGAACAAAGCGTCGATCCATGCTTCAACACCGTCTTAGTTACTTTCCCATTGCTGAGACAAAATACCTGACACCCAAAGTTAAAGGAGGAAAGGTTTCTTTAGCTCACAGTTGTAGAGGTTTCAGTCCATGATCAGCTGCCTCCAAGGTAGGGTGGCATGGCAGAGGGGCAACAGTTCATTACAGGCAGAAGGTAGCAAAAGCAAGCAAGCAAGGGATGAATGTAGCTCTTTCTGTCTCTTATATCTCATGCAGGCTGTTTAGGACAGGTAGTACTCACACCTGGTGCCCTTGATCCTAGCATTGCACTGTGAATCAATTTTAGTGTCACACACTGTAGATAGAACTACCTCTGAAAAAACCCCACATATGACTGCAAGAGGATTTGGGAGGACATCTAGACACAAGCCATAACAAATACAGACTTTAAAAACATTAGTCTGGGCTGAGATGTGGTTCAGGGGTAAAGTGCTTACTTTGCACACATAAGGCCCTGGGTTTGAGTCCCAGCATGTCAAAAGAAATTAAGTAAAAGGAGCCACATATGAAAGGCTACATAGTATATGATTCCATTTTTATGAATCATATAGAATATGTCAATTCGTAAAGGCAGAAAACAGATGAGTGGTTATTAGGAGCTAGAGGAGACATGGGCGATCGAGGGAGTGATAGCTAAAAAGGAAAAAGCTGCTTTCAGGGTGAGTGAAATGTGCTCAGATTGTGGTGGTAGTTATACAACTCAGTGAACATACTAAAAGTCACTGAATTGTTCAAACGGGTGAATTGTACAGTATACTCATTACATCTCAGTAAAGCTGCTAATATATAAGTATATATATATATATGTGTGTGTGTGTCATGCATTCCAATAAAGTTGCTTAAAAATAAAAAACACAGCTAATACAATGACTGTAATTACTATATACAGTATTGCAAACATGTACTAATAAAAAACACGGCATGGTGGTGCACACCTTTCACCCTAGCACCCTGGGAAGCTGAGGCAGGAGGATCAAAAGTTCAAGCCCATCTTGGGCAACCTACTAATTTAGCAAGACACTATCTCGAAATTTAAAAAAAAAATGTTGTTAAAGGGCTGAGAGTATAGCTCAGTTTTAAGGCCCTAGGTTCAATCATCAGTAAAAAAAAAGAAAAGAAGAGAAAAGAAAAGAAAAGAAAAGAAAGGAAAAGAAAGAAAAGAAAAAGAAAAAAGAAAAGAAAAGAAAGAAAAGACACTGTGAAACTACCCAGAAAGCTGTCAGTACAACTGACTCCAGATATCCTCACATTGGAGTTCATACAATGGAAAGCTACTGCACAAAAACCAAACAGTGGTCCAACTTTGATTACTAGCAGAGTCACATAGACTTCTAAATTCCCCTGGAGATTACCCATGAAGGGAACTCACTGTGTAGCCACAAACCTTAGCTGCAAGGGAGTCTGGGAAATATAGTCTTTGCTTTCTGAACTATACAGAACCAGCCGGGACATTAAGAGGTAAAGCAGGGAAGATGGAGAAAAGGAAGGTTCCTGACAGAGGGAGGGATATGAACAAAGACAATGAGGTGTATTCAGGAAACAAGCCATTGGCCAGGCCATCCAGCCATCAAGAGGGGTCTGGGTTTATCCTGGGCACCTTTAGTCAGAGTGGGCACTGGATTTGATTTTGAGGAGATGCCTGTGGCCATGTGTGAACAGGTTTAGGGGACAGAATCCAGGGATAAGAGAGGAGGTCACTGTGGCCTTGACATCTGGGACCATGATAGCTGGGGTCAGGGTGACAGGGGTACAGCCGGAAGGAATAGGTGGGCTTGAGACAGGGGTCAGAGGTAAACATCCAGGATGTGGTGACTAGGGTGTGGGCAGTGGGGAGGGAGGCACAGAGGCAACTCACCTGTCTCAGACTCTGAAATTGGGAAGGCCACCATTTTCCCCTTGGTTTGCTTTTCTCTAGACTGACTCTTTATCTGTTCACATGTACTTACAAGTTATCCATACTCTGCAGAGCAGTGGGTGTGTAAGTGTTTTGCTCAAAATCTGGCCCCAGAGAAGGGGCTCAGAAAATTTTTATTTTTCTTGCCTTTCAAAGCTCAACTCAAATTAAACCTCCCCTCAGGAAGCCTTCCTTCATTCCATACCTTTCCACACCATTCCATGCCAATCCACACAATCCCACACCAATCCACACCATCCCACACCAATCCACACCAACTCACACCATTGCACACCAATCAGTTGTGAATCAGAATCCCTGCATGGGAAGGGGAAAGACTGGATCAGGCACGGGGCTCAGTCCCTCAAGGTTGGAAGATGGGAGTGTCAAATACCACAGACTCAGAATACCAGCCCCTCAAGAGCACGTGTTGCCTTCCCAGTCCCTTTAACACCTTCCCTCTCATTTGCCTCTGGACACGTGGAGGCTTCTTCCTCCAGGAAACAGGCTGGCTCATCAGAGTCACCCAGCACTGTCTGTTCCCTGCCATCAACACCTGTCATATTCAGGTTTCCTTGTAATAGCAAGTCTGTCTCCCCACTGGATGGGAAGCCTTTTTACTTCAGGGAGCCCCAGGAAGTCATACTGGGGAAGTGAAATGGAAGTGACCTGAAGCTTTCAAAGTCTATGCAACAAATGTTTATCAAGCACCTACTGCATGCCAAATGCTGATCAGGGCGGTGAAAATGAAGGCAGGCACATGTGAGAAGGAAAAGGTAGAAAGGTTTCAGAGCAACCTCCTCCAGGGAGGGGGCATCTGTGTCTGTCAGAACTGGTGATAATAAATCACCAGTTTGGTAATAAATAATCCCTAAATGGGGAGGGGAAACAAGTTATATCATGTACAGATACAGCTTCTCTATGATGAATGAGATCATTATGTATATTTTCTTTCCCACCATCTAAATAGTGTATAGGGTTCCCTAGTTGTTTTGTTTTTCGTTTGTTTTGTTTTGGTTTTGTTTTTTTTCCGATACCAGGAATCATACTCATGACCTCGAACTTGGCAGGCAGGCGCTGTGCCACTGAGCTAAATCCCTAGTCCCCTAACATTTTTTTTTTTTTTTGTCTTTTTGAGACAGGGTCTCGCTATGCAGTTCGGACTGGCCTTGAGCTCACTTTGTAGCCCAGGCTGGTCTCGAACTCTCAACAATCCTCCTGCCTCAGCCTCCCAAGTGCTGGGATACCAGGCGTGTGCTACCACACCCGGCTTAAGCTGCAAATTATCTTGTCCTTTGATGACACATTATGTGATAACAGCATGGGAATAGGTCTAACTGTTTCCATTCCCTAAATGTTTCCAGTCACATGTTTTGTTTTTAATATTGGAAAATGAAATGTGCTTACAATAAATATTTGTAATCTAAATAGCTAAAAAAATAAATACATAAAATGTACCAATAAAATCTGATTAATATTAAAAAATAAATAAGTAAAGCCTGAAGTCTTTGTGACTTAATGCAAGTTCTTTCTTGCACATGAAAAAAGCCTGATGTGGCAGGCACTAACTTTTATCTGGTGATGCAGGGCTCAGAATCCTTCTATCATGTGCCCTGGTATCGTAACTCATCGCCTCCCGGGCTGCCATGATAGGAACTAGGAGGCAAGGGACTTCTCAGCTGGCTGGAGGTAATGCATTCATGTCACAGCCCATTGGCCAGGACTGGTCACATGTCTCTGCCCAGCTGCAAGGGAGGCTGGGATTGTGGCCATGTCTGGAGCATGTCCCCACTCCCTCCTGTGCCCAGCAAAAAGCACATGCAGGAGGAAGGAGGGGACATTTGAGGGGCAGCAGGGGGACTGAGGCCAAACCCTCAGTTACTGGTGTGGATTTACAGTAATGCTCCAGCAGCTTTCTCTTTTGTATTGTTTTGTTTTTGTTCATTTTTATCATTGGGGAGTGAGGCAGGGAAGGAACAGGTGAGTCTTTAAAGGTTGGTTTTTAGGGCTGAGTCTGCGCTAGGAGCTGCCCGTGGACCGTTCCATCTCATTAGGGCTCATACAGCCACAGGCACGCAGGGATCACAGAAGAGGAGACTGACTTCCACCTGGCTTGGCCATTTTCCAGGACAGAAGCCAATGGGACCTTTCCGCAATGGTACGCTGGAGTGGTGGCTCACGGGGAAGAGGGGAGACACTAAGTAGCTGAAGAGGAAACACACCCACCACAGATGGGTCGGGGTGGGACAGGGTGGTGCGTCCTTGGCGCACATCGTGATGTGTATTTATTGCTGCTAATGTTTGACTGCACAGGTTTCTTAAAGGTTCAGGATCTAGGTGTCTTCAGGTGAACGTTTCTGTTTGCCTCAGACCCCTCTGCTCCCTCCTGTTCTGCACCCAGCTGCCCCTGACTGGTCCCAGAAGCCCCTGGCTTGAGGTTCCTGATGGCAGATGGGTCCTTTGCTGGTGTCATGCCTGTCTGATAACAGGCTTCTGGGTACCATAGGCTGTCAAGGATAGCCACTGAGCAATGAGGATTACAGCCATCCTCCTCTGCCCCTCCCAAATCAGCAGATATGGGGTGGGACCCTGAATGTCCCCTCCGCCTCAGGCTGCGTGGGACCTTCTCATGGGCACAGTTTCTCAAGACCTTGGTGTCTCCACATCCTCCTCTCTCTTCCCTCACATGTCTGATGAGCATGGACTCTCACCTGCTAAGGTCCTGTTTCCCCTGCAGCAGAGCAGGGAGCTCTATCCCCACCATTTCAGTCCCCCAGGAGGCCTGCCCAGAAATGCAACCACACGGCTCGAGACGGTCCAGTGGGCACTTTATTGTCATTAGGGGTGACTCTTGTGGACAGGGCAGGGTGCCTAGAGGGTTACACAGGAGCCAGGTCTTCTAGGGTGATGTCTGTTCCCAAACTCATCTGTGCTCACAGCCACCAGCAGCGCTGGAGTTTCCCAGACCAATATCCCCAGAGATTGCAGCACGGAGAGGCTCTGCCCACCCACAGGAGGAGCCCGGGAAGCCAGAACTGGGGCTGGGGCAGGGCGCACGCTGAGAGTCTGGCCGCATGCAGCAGGGGACAGGAGCTGGGCATGGACATCCTGGCGCCTGCTCTCTATGGGGCTCCTTAGACGACGTGGAAGAAAGGGGCTCAGGTATGGGCAGTGTGGGTTTCCCTTCTTGGCTGGCTGTTGCGTCCCTGAAGGAAGGGCTCAGGTGTGCGGTGGGGTCTAAGGAGGGGCTGGGGGCTGAGAAGAGCTGGGGCACACAGGGCTCAGGTGTCCTGGACCCCAACTCTATACACAGGAAGCGAGGCTCACGCTTCCAGGGGCTCCCTAGCCCAGGATGCTCGCCGCCCTGGGTGCTGCCGCTTCTCCTGGGCCCCCTGGCCCCGACTCAGGTCATCCAGGAGCCCCAGCAGGAGGCTGGCTTGGCCACAGGCACCCCAGGGCCCACACAGCCCTCCTGGGGCCCTCTTGCCGGGGTGTTGGCGCTTCTCGGGCAGCGGTGCCCCCTCTCTGTCCTCCTCCACGTCCTCTTCCCAGCTCCTCTGGCTGAGGGGATCTACCAGCCTTCGGCCTGGGTGCTGCCTCTTGGTGACCGGGTACTCCAGCCAGGGTGAGCGCCGGCCAGGGTGCTGCCGCTTGTGGAGCCCCACGGTACCCACTTCCTCCTCCTCTTCTTGAGGCCTCTCCTCAGTGTCCTCCTCCCTTTTACCTGGGTGCTGGCGCTTCGAAAGCCAGTCGGGCTGCGAGAGCTGGGACTCTGGGGGTGGAGAGCAGCCCTTAGAGACGTGCCTGAGCGACCCCCCAGGGACACACAGAGGGTCCAAGCCCTGTTCCACCCTCCCACCCTGTGTGACCTTCGGGCGAGCATGCAACCTCCCTCAGCCCCTGTTTCTTTGGGTGTAAAGTGGTGCAGCCGGCACCCAGGAGGCTGCCAGCAAACTGCAACAGCATGACTGGCATTTAGGTGCCTAGGGAACAATATTTGTAGCTGTCACACACAGGTGAGGGGGGTCCCCAGAGACCCCCGCTGATGGTCCATTCTGAAACAGAGGAGGAAGCTGGCCCTGCGGGGAGGGGACAGGGACAGCGGGAGCTCCCTGCTCACCATGCTCGATGGGCGCCCCTGGCAGCCCCTGGAGGTCTTCCCGGAGGAGGAGTAGGCGCTCTGCCTGCCGCAGGAGGTCTAGGCCAGGACCCTCAGCCTCCATCGCTGCTTCTTGCTGGGCATGGCCCCTCGGGACACTGGTCAGGATCAGGATCAGGGAAAGGGGCCACCAAGGGCCATGCATCACGGCGTCTGGGAATAGGGACAGGAGGGCTGAGCACACTGCTCCCTGCTCCCTCCAGCTCCTTGTTCTCACACTGCTCCCCTCCTGAGCAGGACCCTCTGCACCTCCTGTCCCCTGTCCCCTGTCCTTGTCACCTGTCCTGATGCCCAGGGACCATCCCTGCTGCTCCCACCCTGGACATGCTGATCAGCTATCCCCAGGCTCCAGGCTGCTGTCCAATGCCGGCCCCCCCCCAAGCCTCCTGTTCCGATGGTCCCTCCCCAAGGACCAGGTGCCAGGCATCGCTCACATGGGCACCGCTGTGTCTCTGTCAACTGGAGACCCAGGTTTGGAGCTGCATTCTATGTGCAGTGCTGGGCTAGCATTAGAGCCACTGAACCCTAAGCCCAGGGTGAGGACCCCAGGGCAAGGATCCCCTGTTAACACTGGGCTCTGGCACCCCCGCTGGTTGGGTCCAGGTCCCCTGCAGCTGTCACCTCGAGTCAGGGGCCAGGAGCCAGGGTCCTGTGGGCTGAGGGTCGGGGGTCCCACCTGCAGAGGATCCGGGGCCAAGGCTGGAGGGTGGAGGGTCCAGTCCGGGTGCTGTCCTGGTCGGGCGAGTTGTCTGCTGCCAGCGCTGTCCCTCTTATATGCGCATGGGGCGGGGAGGGGCTGGGAGGGGCGGGGGTCCGCAGTCCTGGGGACTATCGGTGGGCGGAGAGAGGAAGGGAGGGACTGGGAGGAGACAAAGGAACAGATGCTGAGGAAAGGACCTGAAAGACTTAGGGGGAGGCAGGGAGTCTGATCTTGTCTGCGCTACTTCCCCAGGCCTCCCCTCCCCACCTCCCCACCTCGCTTCTTCTCATCTGTTCGATGGGCGGAGAGGACCATTGTCAGAATCCAGTGGCCTTCAGATACGTCCAGGTCTTGGCCGGTTTTGCTTGATTCCTGAAGTGCTTGAAAATGTCTGAAAACATGGCATTTTAAGACCAGAACTTAGGGGAGAGTGGGTTTACGACTTCTGCTGAGAAAGAGGCAGGTTCCCCGCTGGTGAGGACAGCAGCCACACCGGTCACTCGGCACCCTTCCCCAGTGCCCCCAGTGCCACCGGTCCTGGGGGAAGGGACGGAGTTTGCTGGAGCCCCGCCCCCAGCAGAGGAGGAGTGGGGCCAGTGAGGGGACAGGTGCAATGTCAGGAGCGTGTCCCCCGCCCATCCCCAGGGCCTGGCCGTCTCACCAGGGTGGGGAGGCCACAGGTCTGACGTGGCCAGCAGAGGCTCAGTCCTATGTGTCCATGGGTTGGAGATGCAGACGCCTTGAGCTGGGCACAGATTCAGGAGCTCGGGAGTTGGGGTGCCGGGCTGAGGTGTTGGGTGTCCCCACAGGGTAACGCCAGCCAGCCGGGACAGTGTGCGGGTGTGAGGTGCCAGGGTGGAAGCTAGAGCTACCAGGGCTGCGAGAGGCTTCCAGAAGCTTCCCAGAGGGGTATCAAGCACCACGGTCCCGTCTGCTGTGCATGGCTGCTGCAGTCCCAGTGGAGGTGAGGCTTGTCTCTCTCAAACACACACACACACACACACACATACACACACACACACACACACGTGTGTGCCCTCCAGGCTGGCTGTCTGCATTTGATGATTGTTCCTTCCATTATGCCCGGCTTTCCTGGCACACCCCCGCCCACCCCGTTCACGAGGTGAGCAGGCTCTGACTCTGCGTCGCAGACCGGCCAGGGCTGGGAGGCAGTGGCTCCAGCTGCACAGTCCTCTCTGGGTTTCCAGGGAAGAAGCCATGGCTTGGAGAAGCGGCCTGCTGCGCACCCTACTCCCAGGGTGGATGGGTGACCCCCTCAACCAGACGCAGGTCCTGGGGAGTCACCACCCTTGCCAGGCAGGAAGTCAGACAGACTTCATCCCACAGGAGGGGAGGTGCGTAGCGCGACTGGCCTGGGGCGCCGTCTGAAGTGTGCCCACGTGTGCCATCCACAAGACAGTTCCACCCCGCAGACTCTCCCGCAGCTGCCCTTTCCGAGGCACGCTCAGGGGCACTCAGCACACCTGACTCAGAGCAGGAGGCACCGTGGCCCGGAGCTGGCCATCCAGAGCCGTGGTACCCGCTTCCTGTGCCCTGGGGGAGCCAGCCCGGGTGGGGACTGCTGCGTGAGAACACTGTGTCACCAGCCACACGCGTGGGCTGCGACAGTGGACTTGGCTTCTGTGTAGGGAGGGACTTGGGGACAGGGAAGCAGGGGCAGAGAGGAGGGAGGGGGCTGGCTTCTCGCTGTCAGCCCATCCTGCTCTTTGAGTTTTTTCTCTCTGCAGTGGGCATTGCCGATCGAGAAACGAACCCTAAAACCGAGACAACAGCAATCTCATCTCAGTCTCAGAGCAAGGGATATGCATGTGGATGAAAGGAGCTTGCCGAGGCGGTGGGGAGGGTTGGGGACCCTGAGATCAGCGCAGACCCCTGCGTCTTTGGTGACCTTGGCGGAACAGCTCCTTCCAGATCAGCCAATTCCTGGAGGGTAAACCCCTTTCACATGCAAACGAACCATCTTCCAGATTCACCCTGGGCTCCTTCCCGGAGCTGTCACTGTCCTGCCACAGTCGCCAGGGCCCCGCATTCATTCCCTCAGAGCCAGGGACCGACAGTCCTCATGCCCCAGCCTGCTGAAATGACCCCAACAGGCCAATGTGAGGGGCCTGCCCATCCCTTCCTGTGGAAACCATACTAAATGGAGGCCCTGCTCCGTGCCCTTTGCCTGCTGCCCCCAGCCACCCTCGAGCCTCTTTTGGGCCTCGCCACACACCGAATAATGATCCGGGCTACACTCTAACACAGCACAGAGGGGCAGCCGCTTGAGACCCTGCCTCCCAAGTGGCGCTGGGAACCCGAGAGCCAAACCCAGGGCCTCTTGCTGCTGGGTGAACGAAAGGCACCCCTGAGCCCTGCCCCAGTCCCAGCCCACTGGTGCGGCTGCAGGCATCTGTCTAGTTTGCTTTCCCTCTGATAATAGAAATGTGCTTGATCTGAGGCTGCCGTCGCTTATCAGATGAGCAGAGCTGCGCTTGGGAAATGAGGAACGCGTGATGTAGTGGTGAGTGTGGGCACGGTGCCCCTCTCCAGCTTCTCCAGCTTCCGGGAGCTGTGCTGATTTCCCTGACCCCGCCTCCTCAGATCCCTGTTTGTCTCTCTCCTGCTCCAAATCCAGGCGTGGCCTGAGGGTACGGGAGAGTCAATCAACCCTGAGCCCCACAAGGACCCAAACTGGCCCCCTACCTTACTGTTCCATTTTGCGTATGGTAGTTTCTTTTTTAATTAAACTTTTTATTTTGAGATCATCACAGACTCCCATGCTGCCACAGGAAGTATTACAGAGATTTCCAGACATGGTGGGCACACTTGTCATCCCAGCACTTGGGAGGCTGAGGCTGGAGGATCACCATGAGTTTGAGGCCAGCCTGGGTTATATAGTGAGTTCAAGACCAGCCTGGACTGCACAGAGAGATCCTGTTGATTAGTCACAAGGCAGCCCCCCTCCCTCACGGGGGATTTAAGCTCTTTTATTAAGGAGTTAATAAAAACCCCTTCCTCTTCACCTGTTCCCCTCCAGTTCCCCTCGACAAAAGCCAACCCTGCCCTCATCCGCCTTGGCAGAACCAGACGTTCAACTCTGATGAACAGCATCCCCTGCTCAGGCTGTTCTGACCCACCAACAACCCCTCCCAGAAAATGTTCTGGACCACAGACACCTCCCTGAAAGTTAGCTTTAAAAACCCATGCTTTGCTCAGCTCGGGGCTGTCCTAGTACCCTGGGCAGCCTGCTGTGTTGCTCCCCGCAATAAAGACTCCTCTCGTGTCAGAAGGTGTGGTCTGGTTCTGTGTGGGTCTCTACCCGATCATATCACCTGTCTCAAAAAAAAAAAAAAAAAAACAGACAGACAAGAGGGAGGTAGGAAGAAAGAAAAAAAAGGAAGGGAGGGAGGGAGCAAAAGACAAAGGGAGGGAAGGAAAGAGGGAGGGAGGGAGGGAGGGAAGGAAAGAAGAAGATGAAAGATCATAAATATCTTCAGCTCTTCTTAATGGTATATCTTGTAAAACTCTAGAGCAGTGGAGGCAAACCTATGGCACACAGGCTGCAGCAGGCTGTTTGTATCAGTGAAAGCTCTAAGAGGTTCGCCACCCCTGCTCTAGAACAATACTCCAACAAGGATATTGGTGAGCCCACTGACCTTGCACAGATCTCCTTGGTTTTACAGGATTGTGTGTGTGCGTGTGTGTTGTTCTATGCACTCTTATCACATGTGTAGGTTTACCAACCATGTGGTGGCATTTTTTGCTCCATGTGGTGCAAAAAATGGTACCTGTTGTATGCTAAATTCTCTCCTTTATTGACCCAACAATAAAGGTCTCCCCCAGGGTCATTAGCAAGCACCTCAGCAGTTCTGGAAGACGGGTCTATTAAGTGTCAGTCCTTCTCCCTGACCCAGACCCTGCTGTGGCCCTGGAGCACGTGGCCCCATGGCTAATGCTCTGCATGGATCCTCGGGTCCTGGCTTCCCAACTGCACTCAACAAGTGTCCCCAGTGCCACACCACCATGGGGCAGGGCCCTGGGTGGGAACTCACTCGGTGGGCAGAGGAGACCTAGACATTGGAGGAGCAGGGTCTGAAGGGCTCTCTGGAGAGCAGCGAGGAGTTGGGTTTTGTCCTCATGGCAGCAGAAACACAGAAGGTTTTCAGGAAGAGCAGGATCAGGTCTGATTTACCCCTTCAATGCCCTGTCCCTGCTTGGTGCTTGCGGGTGGACACATGCTCCCTGGGGAAAGTCCCCTGCCTCAGTTTCTCTGCTCAGGCCCTCATCCTGCTTCCTCCCTGGGCTCAGCTGTGTCTGCTCTCACTCTGTGGCCTGGGTCCTCACCAATCCTCTCCCCTCTTGTGAGAAGGGAGGACCTCTGCCTCTAAAATGGCCCCTTACCAGCTCTAAGGATGCACATGGGACCTGGGTGGCTGGAGCCACATGAGCATGTGAGGCGCTGGTCTGGGTAACCAGAAAGGAAAGACTCAGGTCAGCTTCTGGTGTGGCTGCATCCAGGAGGCCGGCTCAGGCATCTGTTCTTTTTTTCCATTTGTAAACCCTTCTCCACTCCAGATGGCTTCATTCTCAGGGGTCCTGCAATCAGCAGGAGACTTTAACTGGGAAGAGATGCCATGTGGAGGAAAGGGCAGAGGGCAGATCAATCAGAGGGCTCCCTGGAGGTGGAGGGGCAGTCACCAGCCTGGAGGGACAGGTGAGTGGACAAGAGGGGCACACTCCTCCAGGACCCGCTTCCTGTTCTCTCCTGAGCCTCAGCTCCCAGAACAATGCAGTGTGGGGATGGCTGCTCCCTGCACACAGGCAGCTCAGCCAGCCTGGCCCAGAGCCCGAGCCAGGGCTCACGCTCACAGCGCAGACCCCGCCAAGACTGGCCGGATCTGAGGTCTCAGTGCCCCGCAGCATGGCAGGTCGCTTCTTGTTTTTTCGTTTTGAGATGGGCTCTCACTATGTAGTCCAGACTGGTAGTGATCTTCCTTGCCTCAGCCTCCTGTGTGCTGA